CTTAATAGTAAACCTATAAATATATGCACATAGAGCTATTTCCCTATCATCATATGTAAATATTTACATATGTACATGCATGTATTTAGACTTCTATAAATGTCCTTTGCCTCTTGTCCCACTATCATCTTCTGCCTTCATTTGGGTTTCAATACTTCCTCTGCTTACATTGCCCTTATCAAACTCTACCAGGCCTCCTACACCCCCCTCGCCACCGATTTCGGACCACTTGTTGTTCCCTTGCCCCGGGAGTTGTTAACACCCACTTCATTTCTCCTGCCTCCCCCTCTCCCATGTCCCCCCAGAACTGTCACTCCTGTAATTTTCTCCTCCAGATTGTTTATCCTGCCTATCTTAGCTAGATAGATCTGTGGGAATAACATGCACAAAAACAAGACAGAACAACACAAAGCAACCAAAGCAAACAACAAAAATACCAATGACACACACACAAAAAGCCTATAAATAGTTCAAGGTCTATTTGTTGACCTTTAGGAGTGTTTTCTGGTCCAGTCTGATGGGGTGCCAAGCCCTGGCCTCAGTCTATTTTTGGTACTCCTTGGGGACGTCATTGCTCAGCTCCCCTTGGTGTTCTGTTGCATGCCCTTTGTGTTTTGCCTCTGTGTGGTGGGGTAGTGGGGGAACAGGGCACTTAACCACCCAAGGCGAGGGTATTGTTTATATCTCCAAAGGAAAAGAGGGACCAAACTTCAACCTGGTGCTCCAAGTTGTGAATGCAACATACCGGCATGAAACAGGGAAATCAGTAAAGAGGTCTGAGGAGCCGGCCCCAGTCCCAACTATGTGGACAGCCACCCCACCCCCAGAAGAATTCACTTCAGAGGACAGCACTGAAGCTACAGCTCAGGGAAAGAAACATGTCTGATCAGAGCACACGGGAGCAAATGAAGGGGGAGGAAGAGAGAGTGGAGCACATCCTGGCCAACCAAGCCTTGAGGATGATATCCTTGCTCAGAGCAGCCAATCCACAGAGTGGACCACATAGCTGACCCCACTATGAGACACGACATCCCTCACTGACCCATAGTCCTACAGGGGACAACACTGGAGACACAGTGTGGGAATTGTGCCCGATACCGAATTTTTAATAAACTTTTTAGAGCCATCTTGTATATACAAGTATATTTCATAGTTTCATAGTGCTGTAAACAGTTCACTTCACTTAAGCAAGATGTTACTTTTTCTTTTTCTAATTTTAAAAACTGCTGTGGTCTGTCATGAAAGGATGCACCATAAAGTAGGGGAATGGAATTTGTTTCTCTTCTCAAGTATGGTAGCAGATTTTTAGAAGGAAAACAAAATAATAATTCCTAAGACCATCATATATGCTAATAAATCCAAAAAGAAAGTGAAAATGTTTTACTTTCAAAATCCAGTGAGGGATAATTGTAATAATAACAGTCTCTTAATAAAACTCACTGTTAGCAATCCTTCAAGAATAAGCACTTTATTTCCAGAAAAGTATCATTACTGAAAGATATTTTCAATGAAGAGAACAAAATTATAACCGAGTATGTGCCTTCTGAGCAAAATATCAAGTTGTTTACAAAAAAGTGATTTAAAATTAACAGCCTAAATTCCATTGTATCACTGGAAAAAGTAAAATAAAATGTAGCAGTCTCTCGAGTTAGTGAAGAATAAGAAACAGCTGTTGCTTCACCTTACACATAATGCAGCATAATGAACAAATGTGGATTCACATTTGACTGTTCGCTATACTGGTGTGTAGCCCATTATGGCACCGGGGTTTCTGAAAGATGTTTAAAAACACAACATGAAAAAAACAAACAAAAACACAACATGCATTTCCAGGTTTCCTTTTCTTTTTTTTCAGGTTTACTTTTTAATTGAAAAAAAAAAAATCATACAATTCAAATTTTCCATTTCTTTTTTCACTCAGACCAAGCCAACACGACAGTAGAACTGTTTTGTGGCTGGGATCTTTAGGGGACAGATTGTCAGTTATCCAGTAGAGTGACTGAGTTGGTTTGAATCACCAACCTTTTGGTTAGCAGTCGAGCACTTAATCATTGGGCCACCAAAGCTCAATGAACCGAGGAAAGGAAGATTAAAATCAAGTATACGGTATAGGGGTTGCTATCTTTTATTAAGAGGAACTGTCTTTTTTCTAAATATGCACCTTCTAATTTTAGTATTTTTTTAAAAACCACTTTATTGGGGGGTTCATACAACTCTTATCACAATCCATCCATCCATCTTTTGTGTCAAGCACATTTGTACATCTGTTGCCATCACTAGTTTTAGTATTAAAAGATCATTTTTTTCAAAAGAAATACTTAACTTAGTCAAATACAAATCTGACGACTTTATGAGGCTATAATAGCTTTTGCCTGAAATCTATTCGGCTGTGCAATCCAATAGACTTAGAAGCTCAGGTCTTAAAAATGTTTACAATTGCTAGATAATAAGGAACAGAAGTGGAGAAGAAAGAAATACAAAGTACTTCAAAGTGAAATCATTAGCAAGATTTAGAGAGGTTAATGGCGTAGTAAAGAGCAGAGGGCAGGTTGCCTAGAAAGCTAGTGGTATTACTAGGAACAGCAGGCTGCGAGATAAAACTATTTTTGGAACGAGTTCACTTTAGAATCTGATTTGAGGTTGGCAATGAGACACATTATTGTAAACACGCCAAAGAAGCTGCTGTACACACATACACAGGATGAACTAGTTTCCCCCACCTGCTGGTTTGTTAGGAGTAGTAATGAAGTCCTGATGGCCCAACAGTGAATGCTTGGCTCTTGACCAAAAACTCAGTGGTTCAAACTTTTCAGAGGTTCTGCGACAGAAAAGACCTGGTCACCTGCTTCTCATAGATTGGTGGTGCTGTGAGGTGGAGTTTTATCGGTACCAACACACAATGATGCCAGAAAGAAACACTGCCGAGTCCTGTGCCCAAACAGGAGGTACATTTGAAAAGAATGTTGCAATCAGTAATATCTTTGAGTGTTTTCCTCCTTTTCATTCACCTTAAAGTTCAGCTTCTTCAGGGACTGGTTCCTTCTCATAATCTGTGCCGCCTTCACTTCTAAGGAGCATTCTGGTTACACTACTGTCGTGGCAGGTTTGTTTTTCTTGCCAACACAGGCACTTCTAATGTGTCAGTTCTTTCGGGTTTGTTCCTGTTGCCCAGCTTTCAAATGCATCCGAGGCACCGTGGGCCAGGCAGATTTCAGTCCTTTAAGAGATGGTTTGCAATAGATTTGTCTAATGCAATATGTTGTTTGATTTATGAACTGCTGCTTTCACGGACACAGATTGTTGATCGAAGTAAAATTAAATCCTTGCCAGTATCTTCTGTTTATCATGTTGTAGATTGGTCTAGTTGTGGATCTTTTCCCCCTTTAGGTTGTGTAATCCATTGAAGGCTTTGATCTTCATCATTTTTCAGTAAGTGTATCAAGGCCCCTTCACCTTCACAAAACAAGGTTGGATCATTTGCATATTATATGTTTTTAAGAGTTCGCTTCTAATCCTGATAGCATGTTTCTCTTCATACAGTCAAGCTTCTTGGATTATCTCCCCAGCAGACAGAATGAAGAAGTATGTCAAAGGATATGACCAAGACATACTCCCATTCTGATTTTAACCAGGGTAGCCCCTTGAAGGCTCTGCATGAACAAAATCAAGTGTTCTGAAATCTCATCTGAGTTAGTTAGTTTATTGTGCCAACCTGGCCGATAAACACATGTGGGGTTACTTGAAGGGCTGAGGGATAAATGGCTCAGTGAGCCTCACCTTTCTAGTTCTCAAGTCTCTTGCTTTGCAATGGTCGGACCAGGGTGCAGCTGCCTTAGCAGTTCCCTGCTTCAGCTGGCAAGGCTCACTTCCTGCAAGACATCCCCCAGGAGAAACCACATGGACCTACCCCAATGCAGCCCTGGGTGCTGGATCAGCCATGTGGAGACCCCTGCCAGCGCTGAGATGCTTACACATTCACTGACTCGGCTTTCCTCCTGCAGTCGGCATCATTGTGTCTGTATTATGAGATGGAGGAGGACTTTGTGGATTGGTGTTGGACATATGGGTTAATGTTGGACTTGTGGGCTTGGGTGGCTGTGGGTTGGGATGTTTTCTTGATGTGCGCTTACCCTTTATATAAAACTCTTATACATGAGTTTGTGAGGATTTGTTTCTCTAATGTACCCAGACTAACAAACCATCCTTTTTTTTAAAAAAAAAAAGGTTTTAAGATACCCAATCTTTTAACTATCTGCATTTCAATGAGAAATGAACGTGGCTTTAATTCTTCACCCTGACTGTGCACCACACTTACCTGTGGAATGAAAAAAAAAAAATAGACCCCCAGGTCCAACACCAGACTCATAGATGAGTGTAAAGTACAGTCTGAACAATTATAGGGAAATATATTAAAATATTTGTAAATATTACTTATATATCCAATCACGTCATTTAAAACCTCATTTTACCAATGTACTTTTCTTTTAGTTTTATTGGCACATTATCATACAATTCAACAGTTTAATCATATCAAAAATAATTGCGTAATCATTAACACAATCAATTTTAGAACATTTTCTCCCCAAACCTCCCATGGTTAAATGGCCTTTAAGATGAGTTGTATAATCACAGTCAGAACTAGTGCTCCCTCCTACCTCCTGTTTACTCCCCAAATCTCCTCAACCCTCCTTATCTCTCACCCCCACCCTCGCTATATCCCCTAGAAACCCCTGCATCAGTTATTATCTGTATGTAGCTATTCCATCTATACTTCCAAACTGATAAACCCAACAGAAACAATAAAAAACAAAAACAAAATGAACTGGTAAGGATAAATAATAATACAAAGATAAAAATACAAATAATGAGTATGAGAGAACAGACCACCAACAATATTTAAAAAGCCAGGGAAGAAATTTTTGTCATGGAACAAGCAAGAGATACGTACTTGCTCCTAGAACAAAATCAGGTTGGGTCAAGATGGAGGTCAACTGCCCTGAGTTCAAACCAGTACAATGATCTGTCTGATAGTAAGGCTGCTGAAGACCCTGGCCTATGGCTAGAGGGCATCTGCCAGCAGCTTAATCTGACTAGATACTCTACTGATGAAGGTTTTGGGATCCCATTGTTTTACACAGTCCTCTACAAACTGGGTTTTCAAAACTTTAGTTCAGATACTTTTCCCTTTGTCATATTTGAATTTTGTTGTCATCTTTGGATCACATAATCTGGTATGCTTCTTCCATGTGGACTTAGTAGACTTAGATGGCTGCTTGTTGGAAATCAAGCCTTTAAGACCCCAGACACTATTCTGATAGCTGGGAACCAGTGGCTTTCTTCACCCCACTTTGCTGTAGTACCCTTATCGTCAGTGACCATTTCATAAAGGTGAGTGCGGAGCAGGGCCATGTTATCAGAACTAACTGTTCTTGGATTGGGATAGAGTTAAGTAGTAGCCCAGAACCCATTAGATCAAAACCCGTCATGTCACTCTGAGGAGGAAAATTGCGGTATTAGACACCGTATAGACAAGAATATAAACCGACCTGAGTATCAGCCGAGGCACCGAATTTTACCACAAAACTGTAGAAAAAATGTGCTGAAAAACTTGGCTTATACATTTGTACATACGGTATATGATGACTCTGGGTTCCTTTCCATTGGACACACATCAAGCCAAGGCTTCCCCCAGGTCCAATGACTGTCACTTGAATTACTGTTCTTTGCAACTTTACCCACAAGTTGTTATGATCCACAAGGTTGAATGGCTTTGTTCAGTAATGAAAATGTAAATGCCTTTTTGGTATTCTATGTTTTCAGTAACGATCCATTTGTCATTAGTTATAATACTTCTCATTCTAAGGCCCCTTCTGCTACCAGGCTTGAATTTCTGGCAGTGTCCTTTCAATGTGTGGCTGTAACCATTCTTAAATACCTACAGCAAATGTTTTGCTTTCATGTAACAGTAATGATATTGTTTTATAATTTCTACATTTTGTTGTATCATCTTTGGAATGGGTATGAATACAGATCTCTTTCAATTGTACACATTACAGTCTGAGAATACTATGGGCCAGTTCTATCTACTCTGTCCTACAAGGTTGCTGTGAGTTAGAATTGATTCAATGGCACACTGACTATAAACTCTGAATTTTCAACCCCAGAAGCCTGAGCCCCTCTGATACTGTAAACACACTGCTGCGACTCAGTGAAACTGTGCCCTCAGCACTGGCCTTCCTGCTGACCCTCATCTGTCCACTACCTAGGGAGTCAGAAACTAGTCCTGGCTCAGTGGTGGGACTTCACCAAGAGCAATGTGAACTCTATTTAAACAAGTTAAGACTATTTATGTCCTGAGAACAAAAATGGTAGTTGCTAAAGTCATGGCAGCCCTCTTATAATATTCTCTTCTGCAATAATACAAGGAAACGCTGAGATTTTTCATGATTGTAACTTGTAAAAGACTGATAAAGTCAGATAACATATAAAAACCTGATCAGATAATACCTCATTATTTTCTAGGTCTGAGGAAGTACAGCCTCTCTTTTCTGTAAGGATACTTTCAACTCAGAGGTATGCCCTGAAACTGGAATTGGTAATAGTTTACAGCCATCTTTTCTAAAATTCATCACTACTCTCATTAATAAGTAACTGCATGAAAATGAGAAATTTATATAAACATTCAATATAAAAACTGCCAGTTCCACTACTCCCTAACAATGAGGAAATTGACAAGAGATGTAGAAATGAGAATTAGTATAGAAAAGATTTCAAGACCAATCCGTATCTACTGTTGTCTTCACTTGAAGGACATGCATGCCTAAAGCAACCTTCACCGGTCATTAAGAAAACAAGAGAATCCCATGGTGGGAAAAATAGATGAAAAATATATTTAGTATTAAATCCTTTGAATTTTCTAAACAAATTTGAAGAGATTTTAAATCTGTATTAAGTTCATACCTTTAAGGCATCATGAAAGACTGGAACACCTGGGTGGTATATGCAAGCATCTGGACAAAAACAGGGAAGAAAAAGAAATGTAAAACATAATAAAGACAAATCATCATTTCTTTCAGTTGCTAAAATTTTGCTTTTTCCAAACACAGGTTACACTTTTTCCTTTAAAAAATCATTAGGCTAAGGTTTTATCATGCCATCCAATGCTCAATATTTTATTAAAAAAACCAAAATCTTTTGCAGTCACACTGATTATAGCTCATAATGACACTACAGGGCAGTGTAGAACAAACCCGCAGGCTTTCCAAAGCTATGCTCTTTAAGGATCTCTGGTGATAGCAGTGGTTCAGTTGGCTAGGCTGCTGAGATGCCAGCAGTTCAAATCCATCAGTCACCTTCTACTCTTTGGAAGAAGATGTGGCAGTCTGCTTACATAAAGGTTACAGTCTAAAAGAAACTATGGGCACCTCTCTGTCCTATAGGGTCATGGTAAGTCAGAACTATCTTGACAGAAACGGTCTGTTCTTTTATCTTTCTGGAAGTTGACAGTCACATCGTACCCCTTTGGAGTGCCTGGTGGGTTCAAACTACCAGCCTTTCTGTTAGCAGTTGAGTGTTTTAATCAGCACATAAAAAGGTCACCTTCTTCCTAAAATCATAACACTTAAAAAATCTAATTTAAGAGTATGATGGCTATGGATGGATAGTGTAGTTCAAGCTTATTAAGGGATATTCTATATTTCCTATTATCTTTGTGGTTTACTATCAAAACTTCAAGTTCCATGATTTTGACCTTTTATCATTCAATTCGACTTTTGCACAAACACTATGAAACTTATGTGTTCTTATGCTCACTGACCGATAAAGACTACCTCCCAAAGAATCCCTATGAAGATACTTTGGAATAGACTTAAAAATTTTTACAGCAATTTTTAAACGATTAAAAATGTAGTATGTAATTGCTTACTTGACTTTCACAGATCAATTAACAATTAAGGACAAACTTCACTATAAAGACGTCGATGGGATCCCTACAGGACCAGTGGTGTATCACTACAGGACCAGTGGTGTGAGTGGTGCTACTGGGAGGGTAGAGGGAGAATGGGTTGGAAAGAGGGAACCGATTACCAGGAACTATATGTGACCTCCTCCCTGGGGGACAGACAACAGAAAAGTGGGTGAAGGGAGACGTCGGACAGGGCAAGATATGACAAAATAATAATTTATAAATTATCAAGGGCTCATGAGGGAGGGGGAGTAGGGAGGGAGGGGAAAATGAGGACCTAATGCCGGGGGCTTAAGTGGAGAGGAAATGTTTTGAGAATGATGAGGGCAATGAATGTACAAATGCGCTTTACACATTTGATGTATGTATGGATTGTGATTAGAGTTGTTTGAGCCCCTAATAAAATGATTAAAAAAACAGAGACGTCGATGGGATCCGGTATCAGGCATCAAAGAACAAAAAATCCTATCATTGTGAATGAAGGGGAGTGTGGAGTGGAGACCTAAAAATAAAGCCCATCTGTAGGCAACTGGACATTCCCTTATGGAAGGGTCACAGGGAGGAGACGAGCCAGCAGGGTGCAGTGTAGCAACAATGAAACATACAACTTTCCTCTAGTTCTTTAATGCTTTCCCCATCCCCGCCCGTCACTATCATGATCCCAATTCTACCTTACAAATCTGGCTAGACCAGTGATTGTACATTGGCAGAGAAAGGAACTGGAAACACAGGGAATCCAGGGCAGATGAACCCCACAGGACCAGTGGTGAGAGTGGTGATACTGGAGGGTGGAGGGAAGGTGGGGGTAGAAAGGGGAACCGGTCACAAGGGAACTGGTCTACATATAACCTCCTCCCTGGGGGATGGACAACAGAAAAGTGGGTGAAGTGAGACGTTGGACAGTGCAAGATATGACAAAAGAATAATAATTTATAAATTATCAAGGGTTCAGAAGGGAGGAGGGGTGGAGAGGGAGGGGAACAAATGAGCTGATACCAAGGGCTCAGTAGAAAGCAAATGTTTTGAGAATGATGATGGCAACAAATGTATAAATGTGCTTGACACAGTGGATGTATGTATGAATTGTGGTAAGAGTTGTACGAGCCCTCAATGATTAAAAAAAATAATAAATTCTAAGCTCTCTATAGCCCATTCTACTCATGTCCCTAATTGTCACTCTGAATTTTCCCCCCTTTATACCACCTCTTTTGAAAATGTGTTTATTACAGTTTGTTAAAAGTAATTAAAAAATATCACACGATACTTATCCTTTAACTGGACAGTACCATGAGCTTAGAGAAAAGAGGTCAGCTCCACCCCTTAGCAATGCTCCTTTTAGGTTACCTCACTTAGCTGAAATACCTTGTTTTCCAATTCACCATCTTTGATTACTGGCATTACTCGAAAATGATTAAATCCTATATTCAGACAATCTCTATAGGCCTAGATTAACAGCCAGTATGACTTGCTTATATAGTTAACATCTATAGCATGGACACTATGCTAGTAAATGGAAGAAGAACTTACAGTTAAGTTAAGGTGCAAGGGACAGGTAAATAAACTCACGGATTAGGAAGAGAGTAAGGTTGGAAAGGGGGTTAAACAGGAATGGGCATGAAGTTGAGAAGGGGAACAGAATACAGTAGAATACAGTATACAGAATAGAATACAGAATACAGAAGGGGAATAGAATACAGTTGAGAAGGAGAATAGAATACAGAAGGGAAATAGAATACAGTATCCAATACCAGAAAATTTGACTATGAAGTTTAATAGACATTTACAGTAGTTAGAGGCATGATAGTAAAAAAAAAAGTTTTGGTGTCATGACAACAGGAAAGAGTGGGGTCTTAACAACATAACCCATATAAACAAAACTTGAAAATCATCGATGATATCCAGATGGCTATTTGTTTTCGTACCCTTATAGTTTAGCTCAAAGTAATATTATTGCATTGGTAAGAAATTACAGCATGATAGTAGTCAGCCAAGTGATCTTAACATTGACTGGGTCAGACTGTGAGTCTAATTCTAGTTCTGCCACTTAATAGCTGCTACAGTGTCCCCGTGTATGGTTTGTGTAAAACACTATACAGTGGTGCTTTTTCCAGAATAAATATTTTGCATACAGAAATTACCAACTATGTCTCTCCTTCAACCATCTTTTTAATTTGGGCTACAGTGGAAATGTCTTATCAGCTTGAGACTACGATTTTTGTCTATAGAGAGAAAAATCATAGAACACTTAGTTAATAAGCATAGTAGTTATATATTATAGCACTAAAATACAACTAATCATAAAAATAAACTAACACTTTTAAGCATGCCTTATCCAGGATGCTTCTACATATCAAGGGCATTTTTATATCTTTAATGTGATCCCTTTACTTGGTCTTAGCTAACTTTGGTGGTGTAGTGATTCCGAGTTGGGCTACGATCCACAAGGTCTGCAGTTTGAAATCACCAGCCATTCCTCAGGAGAAAGATGAGACTTTCTATACCCATAATAAGTTGCAGCTCTCAGAAAACTACAGGGGGTACTTCTATCCTGCCCTATAGGGTCACTATGAGTCAGCACTGACATTAAGTTTTGGGTTTGGTACAGGGTCAAACCTCTCCCATTCTATAAAATTTTCTCCTGGCCAAATTCAATTTGCAATAGCTCATCTTCTTGTTATCTACACTTCCAAACTTGTCATTCACTCGACCAACTTCCTGTTGCCTTTATTCTAAATCTTTGGTATAACCTGATTTCACTAAGTGAATGTTTCCAGAATCTCATTGGTGGTCCCTGCTGTATTTAGCACTGTTCATCACCATACTGTGACTAACAGATGCTACTTAGCAAATCCTTCAGATAGCTCTACTCTCTACTTATCCCTCTAACTTTTCTGAATCCCTTTTCCTCGGCACTGTGCCGTTTCTAATATATATACTTCCAGCAATAAGTTCATATATATATTTAGTATTCTATCTCCATACTTATATACACTCCAAATCTACAAAAGCCAGGACCTGTGTAAGACAGAAACATGTCAGAAAGAAAATTCAAGTATTTCCCACTGAATAGTGTGTGTGATAAAAATGGTGACTATCTTTTGAGGCCAGTGGGAGTCAACTCAATAGCAGCAAGTTTGAGTTGATTTGGCAGTTCAGTTTTGACTCTTACAGGCTTTACTATATATACACAAGCACATACAAGCATCTACATGTAAGTGTGCACATATGTATTCATATATATATATATATATATATATATCTACTATATACACACATATAAACAAAAATAATTAATTAAAGTCTGACCTCCAATGAAGTGCTTTATCAACCCTGAACTTTAAGCTGGTTATCTGTAACTGGAGAGAACAGCCGGGAAGCCATTATCTGACCGTTTCTGGCTTCCACATTGCCATGACACAGAGGCCCTATGTGCCTTCCAGCTCCATCCTTCTTTTCCCGATTCTGCCACCAATCATTCCTTCTACAGAACTCTTATTTCTATGGAGGGCTCCATAATTTGCTTCAATGGCCAACAAAACTCAGACAAGACTCACAATTATGGGGGTTTATTCGGAAAGTTAATAGGCCACCACAAGTGAGGATCAGGAAAGTCTTTGCTCCACAGCAACATCTGTCCTTAGCCAGCACCCAAGTCTCTCCCTGGTCCTCAGCATCTTATCCTAATGGTCCCTTTGCACCAGCCTCTACTGACCAGGAAGCTCACCAGTCTCTCTGCTTCACTTCAGTCCCATAGTGGGTGGGTGTTGATCCTCCGTTCTGTCTCATGGTCCCCTTACCTCGGCTTCTGTACTTGTCCTGGACCCTTTGTTCTGTCCCACAGTCTCTGTGCCACTATGTGTGGAGTCTCTGTTTTAGGCCCTGACCACTTCAGAGACCTCAAATGTGCTCTTTTGATGGTCCTGGGCTTTTTCTTTGTTTCCAGGATAGCTTTTATTCACACAGAATGATTTTGATGGAGGTATGGTTTTGTCTTTTAGCAGACCATACCCCCTACCCCAAGGAAACAAAGACTCACACTCTCTACTAAAGCCAGTATTTCATACCACCTTAATCCTGAGTTAATTACCTATCTCTATAACCAAAAACCAAATTCATTGCCATCAAGTCATTTGGACTAAGAGACCTTATAGGGCAGAGTAGAAATGCCCGTGTGTGCGATTCTGAGAATACGTTTTTATGGGAGTAGAAAGTATCAATGATTTGGAACTGTTGAACTTGTGGTTAGCAACCTATTATGTAAACTACCAGGCCACCAGAGCTCCTTAAATTGGTAGGATCTCACAAATCCACACTCACAAAACCAAGTATTTATCCAATGAGCAAAACATCAGTCTTTCTGCTGTATTTACACAAAACACCAAGGCAACTCACTTTTTATATAGGTCATAAACACCAAAGGGCTTCCAAATTATCATTGCTCTTAAAAGTGTGAATCACTCAAACCTTGACTCCCCACCTGCCTTTGAATAATTTCCTATTTCAATCTTAAATTTTTCTTCAACTATAGTCACTTGAGTACTATATGAATATCAGATTTATCCTTCCTTTCTACCAATGTTCTTGTCATTTTCAATGTCTCCAACTTGTGTACTGAGTTAGTTAATTGTGCCAGCCTGGCCGATAATCACATGTGG